ACCCTTCTGACCGGCTTCCTTCACTTAGGTCCATCCCCAAGGACCAGAAGATACATGTTAGAATTCCCTTTATTTTAGGGATGAACAGTATTGTTTTGTGTCTGTGTTCTTGCCTACCCACTGGTCTGTGGATAGACTTTGGGTTTCATACACCTTTGGCTATTGCTAGTAATGACGCTGCAAACATAGATGAATAAGTACGGTTTTTTGTGCCCCTCCCAGATCCTTTTGTGCATACATCCTGACATGGAACTGTGTGGGATCATGTGATGTCCTAGTCTTGTTTTTTGTTTTTTGTTTTTGTTTTTGTTTTTTTTTTTTTTTTTTTGAGGACTTCCATTGTATTTCCCACAGTGGCTGCACCTTTTACATTCCTACAGCAGTGGAGGAGGGTTGGGGGGGTCTCTTTCCAATCCTCACCAAGACATCTTTTCTTCCTTTTTAATTTTTATTGTTCTACTGTGAAAGGTGGCTTGCTGTGTAATTCGGCCGTTATTTTTTTACAGCAGCACCTGCCACACTTACGGAAGCAGTTTATTTGGTTTTCTGCTGCTTTCAGAGGATGGGCTGCCTAGTCAGTGAGGGGACAGACAGCCCTACCTTCTCCTTGGCAATGTAGAACTTGGCTTTTGGGAAGAGATTTCTCTCCTAACTCCTGGGATACTCCCAGTTATCAGAGAGCCTGAGCTAGACCTCCCTCACCAACCCTGTAACTCTAATCAGTTCCACCTCATATCTTCCCTCTCTCGATACTCCCCCATCCCATTTTGGAGGGCGGGGCCCCCATTACTCCTTCCAAAGCAGATTAATTCCACAAAGCACCTTCTCTCATAGATACTCTGAGTATGTGTGTTTAGTTCTTTGGACTCTTTGATGACACCTGCTCTGAATTGGTTGCTGAGCACAGAGCAAGAAGAGCTATCAGACACACAAATCCTAAGTGAGACCTGGACTAGAGCCCACTCTTCTGCCGACATTTTTATAGCTCTCCCTGGGTTGCTAGAGAGTTAGTCAAGTGTACAGCCTGTAAGCAGAGCTCAAGGGTTGAGCCAGCACAGGGTTTGGCTGTACGTGACCTCTGCCTTCTCCAAGCCAGGCCCAGGATCAAGTTCCAGGAACTCTGCTTGAGTCCTGCCCATAGCTTCCAGGGCCCAAACTTCAGGCCTTTCTGCTCTTGGTTTCTCAGACATCTTCAGGTACAACATCAGGTATGTATTCTTCTCTATTTACAATGAGGTCACCCTTCCACTCCCCAAAAGAAACCTCCCCCTCAGCTTTGCCTTTAGTCTTACAGTATTGCATGCATGCTGTAGATGGTTGAGTACTTGTATATAGAAGTGCCAGCCACACGGTGCATCATACACCAGTTTCTCCTCATCACAGGGAAACTGACTCAGAACAGCAGCTATGGAGAGAGACTTAGCTACATTCACCAGGCAGGGGAAGATGGGGACTCAGAATTCCAACTCCTGTTTTTATCAGTTTCCATCTATTTCATGCTGGTTTTGTTTTTGTTTTGTTTTGTTTTTTTCATTTGTAAAGTTGGGCTGTTTCAGGTCATGGACTGTCTGTCCCTGTAAGTGAGAAAGGGTAAAACACTTGGACACTTAAAGTCGGGGGAGAGAGGACAAGGAGAAGGGGAGGGCAGACATTACATTAGCCAATCCAGCAAATTATTGTTTATTTATGTATGACAGCTGTCACTGGTGTGACATAAACATCCCTGGAGTTATTGAGACACTCAGGAACACACACAAACACGTACACACAAACAACTATTACAGAATAAGAGGCCATGAATGTGAAAGAAAGCAGAAGAGGCACGTGGGACGGTTTAGAGGGAGGGAATGAGCTGGGGAAATTATATAAACAAAAACAAACAGAAATATTTTTTAAAGGATCTTGTGTTTGTGTTGAACTGCCCAGAGTGGATGGGTGAGGCCCCATGAAAGGGAAAGGCATCCTAGGCTGAGGCAGAGCTGTGTAAAGGCTGTGCTGAGTGGCTAGGTTAGGGAGGATAATGGGGCAGGAGCTGCATGGCCATCTTTCCTCTGGAGCTGGAGGCTTCTGGAGAGTGTTAGCTGAAGGGGCTGGGATCCAGGCTTCTGAAGGAGGACCCTGGCTGTGTTTGAACAGACTGGAAGGACTCGAGCAGGAGCATGGGGACTGGAAAGATACCTCAGTGGGTAAGCATGCTTGCTGAGAAAGAATAAGGATCTGATTTTTAAATATCCACAATCCACTTCCAAAGCCCAGCACAGAACACCCCTGTAACCTCAACATTTGGGGGTGTGAAGGCAGAGACAGGAGGAACAATGGAACTTGCTAGATGCCAGCCTGGCTCCAGAGGCAATGAGAGTCCCCATTTTGAGGGAATAAGGTAGAAAGTGATAGAGCAGGACACCAGAGTCCTCCTCTGGCCTCTGCACATAGGCAATAGGACCTATACATGTGTGTACAACACTCATGTGTGTGCTTGCGTGCACGCAAATGCACGCGCGCGCACGCGCGCATGCACACACACACACACACACACACACACACACACACACACAGAACAAGAGCATGGCAGGCAGGAGACATGTTATAGTAAGCCAGGCCAGAAAAGCATATTGGAGTGACATCGGCAGACCATAGTGGCATTCACACAACTTTCTACTCTCCTGAGCCATTTATCAGAAGATCTTAACAAATTTCTAGGTGCGCAAAAACCTACTGTTAATTACTGGTACAGTATTGGACAGCAGATGTCTCGAATGCGTGAAAGAGTGTTCTTGGGAAGAAGCTGTGTCAACAGAGACTGCTTGACTGATGAGAGATGCAGGGATGCAGAGAGGCTGGAGTATGGCCGGTCCAGAGGGTACCTACCTTGTTTTAGGCTAGAGTTAGTCCCTGAACAGCCATTCCTTGCCCACTTCTCTGTCGGTTAACATTGTATTAGTAACAGGTAAAAACCTTGTGGAATCTGTTAATGTAGCAGACTAGCTTCCACCAACCCAAACTTAAGAATGTCCTCAGATAGCGTCTGAGGGACTATATATAGCAAAGCTTCCCCCCATCTTACTGTAACCTCCTCTCTGATATACCCACCAAATATTTTAAACTTGTCCTGATTTATGACTTGTTTTCCTGTTCTGTAAAACCCATAAAACTTTATAAACCGCTTCCATGTTGGAACATGGAATTTGGGGTAACCTAAATCCGTGTTTCCAAGCCATGGTCACTCAAAATGGCTCTGGCATAAACTCTTTTATTTCCCTTTTAAGGTAAATGCCGTGGATTTTTTTTTTGCATTAGCAAATGTATTCATTTTACATAGCTGGAATTTTATGATATTTTAAATTTTAAAAATTATTTAAAAGTTATTGTATAGCATAAGAAAAGTCAAAAGAGATTTTATTTATATTTTTATTTCTGTGTATGTGTGTGTCTATATGAGTGTATGCCTCATGTGTGTAGGTGTGTTTGGAAGCTAGAAGAGGGTGTTGGATCTCCTGGAGGGAAGTTACAGTAGGTTGTGACCCTCTGGACATGGGTGTTGAGGACAGTATTGAGATCCTCTGGAGGAGTAATATGAGATGCTGTTAACCACTGAGCCATCTCTCCAGTTCCGTCATAAAACAGAAACCTAAGAAATTCAACATGTAGCAAAGAAAATGATAGGAACAGTGCAAATGGCAGGTAACCTCCCCTCAAGGCCCACCTATGTAGAGATAGAGTAGAAGTCTTATCTAAAGGAGAGAAGAGATGTGATGTATTAGCCAGCTTTCCCTTTGTGGTGGTTTGAATATGCTTGGCCCAGAGATTGGCACTATTAGGAGATGTTGCCTTGTTACAGGATACCTGTCATTGTGGGGTAGGCTTTGAGACCCTCCTTGTAGTCATGTGGAAAACAGTCTTCTCCTGGCTTCCTTTGGATGAAGATGTAGAACTCTCAGCTCCTCCAGCATCATGTTTGCCTAGAAGCTGCCATGCTCCTGCCTTGATAATGGACTGAACCTCTGAATCTGTAAGCCAGCCCCAATTAAATGGTGTCCATATTAGAGTTGCCTCGGTCATGGTGTCTGTTCACAGCAGTAAAGCCCAAACTAAGACACTCTTACTGTCACAAATACCTGAGCAATTGGCTTGTAAAGAGAAAAGGTTTGTTTTCACTCACACCTTTGGGCATCTCAGTCCATAGTTGCTTGGCCTTGCTGCCTTTGAACCTGTGGTGAAGCAGTGCATTACGGCAGGAGTGTGTGGTGGGGTAAAATGTTCACATCATGGTATCTGGAAAGCAAAGAGAGGAAGAGAAAGAGACTGAGGCTTCAGTATTTCCTTCAAAGACAGGACCTCAATGTCTTAACTCTGTTCTACTGGGCCCTTCCTATTAAAGGTTCTGCCCTTTCTCAATAATACTATGATGGGGACAAAGGCTCTAACATATGAGGCTTGTGGGCATTGGATATTCAGACATCTGTAGATGCCCCAGCTCTGCAGCTCACATGAGCCTACTCTGCTTTCCTCTGTTCATATGTGTCCTTCCACCCAGTGCCCAGAGCAGCATGTAGAAAGTTTTCAGTGGCCATTTGTTGAGTGTAGGACTGAATGAGTGTTGCCTTCCACAGACTATGGGAAAAGGCTTAGCAAGCTGTCCCATGCCCTTCCCACATGAGCATCACTCCCTGGCTAGCATCTTATCCTTCCTCCAGAGTGAGCAGGCACACCTCAGTCTCCAGCAGCTTGTCTGGCCCTGTGGGGCTACACTTACCTTACCCCACCTCCAGCAGCCCCGCCCCTCTTCACACACATGCAGGCACTCTGGCACACTTTCTCAGAGACTGTCCCCTTCCCCTTCATCTTTTTGTTGGACTGGGCCTGAAAGCATTCCTTTGCCCTTGTCTGTGGTGCCAGTCCTTAGTCTGGTTTCTGAGTTCAGTCCCAGAAAGTTGCCACATCCTCTCCTGCAGGTATATTCAATGGGGCTCTTTCTTCTCTCTTCCCTGTGAAAGAGGCCTGATGGAGTCTTTCCAGAATGACGGGCTTCGAGTTGTCATGTGGACTCTGAGCCAAACTCCCAGTGGGGATGTGCATATACAAATCAGCCTGAGGCAGAAGAGGGTCTTTAATAATCACAGTAACACAGGTAAGATACTGCACTTGGTTCTCAGCTGCCGCATATCCGTGTTCAGAGTCTTGCCTGGATGAATCTATCTATGGCTTCCCAGATTCAAGCTAGAATAAATTCCTGAGGACTTGAGAACCTTTGTATTATGGTCATAGCATGGGGTTTCCTGGGACAAAGATAACACAATGCCTGCATTTTATTCAAAATTTATGGCCTTGGAACATTTCGCCCCAATAGGAAAGTGTCAAACTGTGTGACTTTCAAACAACAATAAGCTACTTCTCATGAGTAAAAGGCTGGAAGACAGGGCTGGAGGACTGCTTAGCAGGATGAGGTGAGAGGCCTCTTCCAGGTGGCAGCTGCCTGGGATCTTGTAATCTCCCATGGCAGAGAGAGAGAGGGGATTTTCTGAGACTCTATTTGAGATAACTAATCCTCTTCTGGAAAGGACCATCTTCATAAATTGATCACTGTTCCAATTCCCCACATCCCAATGAGATCACCTTGGAAATTAGATTTCAAAACTTGTGGGGGAGGGGACCTCAGACCACAGTGGGGGACCTCAGAGCACCTCTTAATCCCTCTCAAGCAGCACTGCTCCCTAAAGACCAAGTATTCAAATATATGAGCCTATGGGGACCATTCCTATTCAAACCACAACAGTGGGCATGGAGCTTGCCTTGATGTCAGGAAGTTGGTGGCAAGAGATGTGGACTCAAAAGCCAAATGGAGAACTCCGACCTCAAAACAAGACGAGGAGCCATGGAAGGATTTGACACAGAAAGAGGACCCATGTGAACAAAATGCAATGATATGAATGTATGAAAAATGTCACCGTGAAACTTGTTATTTTATACGCTAAGTTAAAAATGATAGTGAGGTAATGATGGAAAAGAATTTTGCATTTGGCGCCAGGTGTGATGTTACCCACCTGCAGTCTTAGCATTTAGGAAATCTGAGGCAAGCACACTAAGTTTGAGTCCAGCCTCATCTACTTAAGGATAGCATATCATACAGAAAAAAAAAATACACATATATGTAAAATGTGGGAAAAAATTTACCCTGGTGCATGTAGCATGGATTATAAGAGAATAAGTCGGAGGGAGGACACAGGTAGGACACCGTAGCTAGTCAGAAAGAGATTAGTAGACAGGGGCTGCGTGGCTCCCATGAACAGTGACAATGACAGTGATCTATGCATGGGGCAGTGCTGGCTGCTGTAACAAGTAAACTTTACTATTTTAACCACCCAATAAAGTTGCTCATTTCAAGTTTGCAGTTGGATCTTCGTGGGGCTTCTTGACCACAGAGACTAGAGCTTCTTGCCTACGGTGGTTCCGTATAGAGAGAGATGAATGTATGAAGAAAGATCTGAGCCTATAAGGCTCAGCCTGTGGGGTCTTCTATTCAGAATATGGTCATAGCTCAATGCAAGGGGCTCAACTGCTGCTCTGCTTCTCTCTACTGAGAAGTAATGGATGAGCTTTCTCAGTCCCAAGAAATAGGCACCCTTGAGAGATATTGCAGAAGGCAAGGCAGTGCTGACTAGTGAGGTGCTGTCAGGCCTGGGGGAGGGAGGAGTCAGGTGTGGCAGAGGAAACCTTTGCTCTGACATGCTCCTGTTGCTTGAGAACATAGTTCACAGTGACCAGCTCCCTTCCCAAATTCTTTACTGCCAATCAGATCACAAGTACTTGCCAAAATTTTACATTCCCTCCTGATTCAAAAATCATGAAGACCATTCCAATCATGTCTGGTCAGCTTTGGGCTACCTTTTGGTTATTAACAGTTAACTTTATTCAGCGTGGTATACGAGCCTTCTACAGACCTTCCCAAGTAGTGTGCCAAAGGAAACAAGCATTTTTTTTTAATTATTAACCATCACACTGTTGTGAAGATAAGGGCCATGGAAAAGTAATTTGATCAAGATCAAGGAACTGGGAAAGCCCAGGTAGGAAGTGAAGGCTGTATCTAGGGTCTGAATAGTTAGCTTACATTTCGTATCATGCCTTATGTTAAGTAATATTATGTTACCTTAATTTCTTCTTTGTTAACTAAAATGTCATTACATCATTTGCCTCCTTAAAAAGTTATCATATCATTTACCCCCTTAAAAAGTTATTACATCTTTTACCCCCTTTCTTTTCTTCCCTTCAATTCCTCCCACATATCTCTCCACCTTCTTCCTTGCTCCCTCTTAAAACCATGGCCTTTATTTTTAATTATTCTTAAACATATAAATACAACCTGCTAATCCATTTAGTGTTACTTATATGTATATGATTTCATGGCTGACCTCTATACCTGCATCTAAGACTGAATCAAGGAACACCTCAGAAGAGGGAATGGAAAGATGGTGAGAGCCAGAGAAGCAGAGAATCTGTGAGAATGTATCTCCTCGAAATGACAGGGAAATTTCACCCACAATACCTCAGCAATATGGCTCTCGAAACAAGACTCAAACAAGTGCAACAGCATTAACTGTGCTAATACGGAAGGGGAAAATCTCACTGATCCTGCCCACAGCCAGAGAACTACAGGAACTGAAGGTATGCTCAGATCAGGAGAAATAGTCTTCCCCAAGGATGAGCTCTCCTAATAGGTTACCTTAATTTTAACAGCAATACAGGTATACAAGAGATAGATAGATGATATATATATATATAGATAAAATGTTCTCTTCATCTAAGGATGATTATATGGAGTACACTTCACCCACCTCTGCCTCATTAGAACAGGCAAGCCTGGGGCAGCCTGGGGAGCCCTGTGTGAGAGTACTTTCACCCACCTGGGTGTCAGGTCTGGAAAATCTCCTGGTGCCTCAGAAAAGGGAGGGAGGGAGGGAGTGAGGGAGGGAGGGAGGGAGGGAAGGGAGGGAAGGATCACAAATGGAAAACCTTGCCACTTACCCTTCCTCCTGTCTTTTTTTTTTTAAGTACAAGAAGAAAAAAGAAAGAAAAAAGGAGAAGAAAAAACTACATTCATTTTGACCTTACGTTTTCAGGCTCCTTTTTCCCCTAAGTACCTCCATTCCTCTGTAACTGTGGGTTCCTGCTTCCTCAGCATCTCACAGATGCTCAAGTCCCTCACAGAAAATGCCATCATATTTGCATATAGCCTATGTACACCCTTCTGTTTAAGGAGACTTCCAGTATGACATTTGGTGTAAATGCTGTGTGAATACTGCACTTTCTAACTGAGAGAAGGTAATGACAGTCAGAGGTCTGTACATGCTCAGTATGGACACACTTTTCTCATTGTTGTCATCCTCCGTTGGTTGAATCTGCAGATGTAGAACCTATGAACAATGACTATAAAGTGCATAGTAGATGTCAACCTAATAATGTGTATTTGGTTCATAAGAACCTTTTAATCATTTGCAAGAGAAGCTTTGGTGGCCCCAGGTTATCTAGTAGCTCCCTAGACAGCAGGAAGGTCACAGACGTATTTCCATTTTCTATTGTATTGTATACCTGGCAGCAGTTTCCCTTCTCATCACGGTCACTTAGAGGTCTTTAGGTGGCAGCTGCAGTTTCCACCATCTACATCTACATCTGAACCAGGGCAATAGCTTTGGGCAGACGTTCTTTGTTGGTTCCTGGGTAATTGTTCACATGCAAATCCTTGGTCAACTTTTACCAGGGGGGTCAGTGAATATCTGCAAGGGGAAAAATCACCTTTATCTGGTTATACTGCTATTTCTGATAAAATAGAGGTTTTATTGCAAATACTATCTTAGTCAGGGTTTCTATTCCTGCACAAAACATCATGACCACGAAGCAAGTTTGGGAGGAAAGGGTTTATTCAGCTTATACTTCCACATTGCTGTTCATCACCAAAGGAAGTCAGGACTGGAACTCAAGCCAATCAGGAAGCAGGAGCTGATGCAGAGGCCATGCATGGAAGGATGTTACTTACTGGCTTGCTTCCCATAGTTTGCTCAGCTTGCTTTCTTATAAAACCCAAGACTACCAGCCCAGGGATGGCACCACCCACAATGGGCCCTCTCACCCTTGATCACTAATTGAGAAAATGCCTTTCAGCTGGATCTCATGGAGGCATTTGCTCAAGAGAGGCTCCTTTCTCTATGATAACTCCAACTTGTGTCAAGTTGACACACAAACCAGCCAGAACAAATACATTGGGGGAAAATATACGAGACAAGCAAGTTGGACTTTCTGACACTTCCTCCCAGGCTCCAGCCCTCTGGCTAAACAGTGTCAGAGGGTTATATCATTTCTTGACATAAGACATAGAAGGGAGAAAGGATTGAGTTTAGAACAGGTTGAGTGTAAGCTACTGGAGGTGTTCTTTGAAGTGTTTCTTCTTTTTTTTTTTTTAGATATATTTTTATTTTTGCTTATGGGCACATGTGTGTGGCTGTGTTAACATATGCCACTTGTGT